CAAACCTTTGGTCTAATCTCGTCTCCCGCAAAGTTGGTCAAGGCGAAGGAGTATTCCTATACACTACGTTTTATTTTTTGTTTAGCTTGATATTCACCTCGCTAAGAAACCAGTTGGAAGTTGGCCAGCGCCCGCTGCTCCATAGAATAGGGTCATGTGATCTTGTGGTACTAATGAGCGACGCAGGTATTGAGCTGATCAATGGACAACCCAAGCGCGGATCAAAAGCTCACTTACTCTCTATGGCTTTGTACGAGGTAATGTAATTGAAATAGCACGTGAAACTTACAACAAGAATTGAAATAAATCTATATCTAGTACAATCATGAGCATCCTCCCAAGTCACCGCCACTATTCATGGATGGTGGGTTTGATAACTGGCGGGACCAATATCCCATGTACACAAAAGGTGATGGCACTTTGAAACGACCTGAACCGAAAGATCAGTTGGATCATATGGTTATCAACTACAAGAGAGGTACTCTTTTACATGTTGTTGATAATGGCCGATTATAAAAGCGAAACTCTCAGCTTGCTTGATGTTGGACTACCCTGACCTCTCACCACCGCGTCCATCCGCTCAACAACCTCGTGTTGCACCAACGGTTAATGGCCTAAAACCTACTGATGAAAAAAATCAATCATTGAAACACGTTCCCAACGCGACTGTGATAAGAACTGACGACGTGGATGGTTAGTTGAGCACTAGCATCTTATCCTTGGTGTTTTAGTTTTTCTTATTCGTTAGGCAACTTGACTTTTTCGCAGTTCAAAACGCTAAGCGTATGGAAACGACTTTTTCTGCTCATGACTCGGCCATATCCACATCGTCTATCAAGAGTACGCCGGTCGCACCTCAGAGCAGCGCTGCTGGTCAGTTACCAGTCGCCTTTGACTGCGAAATAGTGTACTTTAGCTCAAGTTAGTCTGGAACTAGGTAGCACCATCTTATACACAATTATTACAGCGACTTCGGTAACGGTATCTCCGAAGGTTGCGGGTGACGGTGATACGTCGACGACAACTTCACAGCCACCTTCTACTAGTCAAAAGAGCGCAGGTATCCAGATTTGATGTGGGCTCAACTCTGGGTACAGCAGTTTAAAATTTAACTCATTCAGGACAAACAGCTCCTACACCACCCGCACCTTCGCTGCAGTCACCTGCTGAATCGTCGAAACATGATTCAGGTGTTGATCAACCTGTTGCATCTGGTGAATCCATAGAGTTTCAGTTTCATCATGCTTGAAAAGTGTGGATTTTGTATTGCAGGATATCATCCGTCAGTGACTGTGGGACCGCCTCCTTCTGTGCCTTCCCGTATGCCCATGGTTGATAGATCCAATAAACCAAACCAGGTAAATTTCAAGGTGCAAAAGCTCGTTGTCGACCTCAGTTTTTTCCCCGAAAACACTCTACTTCTTGTTGGGAGAGTATTTCAGTTTTTATTCTCGTTCATTCGCTCACTCACTCTCTCTCTCTCTCTCTCCTCTCTCTGTGCGTATATTTAATCTTCAGTTAGTATGGTTTTTCAAACGAAAGCAGTATTTTCATTCGCCTTCAAGTCTAACTTTTACAGTTTTTTTTAGCTAAAAGTCCCATGGCAATCTTTTAGTTCAAACCTTTTGGCGCAAGTGGGACTTAACGCTGAGAAATTGCATTGTCCGAAGATTCAAGCTTGAGAGCATTTAGTTTGAGACTTTGGTGATGACGATTGAGTGTACCTCTTAGATGATCAGAAGTGTCCCCTCATTGCTACCCCCTTCATTACCCGACCTCCTTTGAGACGAGAAAAGATGAAAGATTAAATCAAAGATAAATTCAAGAGTCGTTCTGGACTTATCAAACAATCGCTTCACTGGTTTCGTACTCCAAAAGCAACGGTGCTCGTAACCTCCCGGCTTCTCTGCGTTCAAACGCGATTGCTGTGGAGCTCTGGCAAATTTTTTTTCCAATATTTTGTGTGCCAAATCATTGTAGGCCGTCTCCTTTGTTCTCCGCACTCTTTCACGCGAACATCCGTGGTCAGTGGTTCAGGATGCCCATGTTCAATTTTGGATAACGACTTCTTTTCACTTCTTTTCCAATCGCTTGTGACTGTTCGCTAATTTTTTATGCAAAGCACTGCTTCCCTTATTCTGCCTTCCTCCATAATGGTCTTGACTTTTGCTAGATTTTTCGGGGTCTTGGTTTTTCCGTAGTCGTCTACCACGGGCTCAGTTCTTGTCAATTCCTAAGATGAATTTTACTGGTTCTGGTGTTTAGTACAACTCGATGTTACTTCGTTTCAGCAGTATGACACGGCTCAAGAGAGTAGACTGGAAGCTGTACACATCGCTCCTTTATCAAAAATGTGAGTGAATTTAGCGTATCTAATAGACTCCACGCTGGGAAGCGCTGTTCCGTCTTGGAAAGAGACTCCTTATCTTGGAGGGAGGGGGTGGGGACTAATTGAACATGGAAAATGGTATGGGTTTCATTATATATGGTTGTACTAGCTTCAAGCGGTTTGCTTGTCTTTACGAGGCGGCCTGTACAAACATTTTTAAGTGTCATTTCATAGCTTCACAGAAAGTTGCAAGTCTCTGCATAGGTGTAACCAGCAAAATGCTCCCTTCTTCCCCTCCTGAGCGGAACAGAACCCTCCCCTTGAATCTTTTCTTGCACTTTTTGGATTTCGGTAACTGTTCATGTTGATCAGCTTGGAGTTGTTTTCATTTTATGATTGATTTGATGAAGGTATGATAGCGTGGGCACCTGAAGTCATTTATTACTCATTTATTAGAATACACGGTTCATGTATGCGTGCTTTTTCAACCTCTCCCGGCTGACCAACTTTATTTACTCTCTTAGAACTATGAGTTTTAGGTTGGTTTTGAATGTATTTTAGCGAATTTCCTTTCAGTAATGCTCATCCTTCACAACCTCGACTTCCACTTCCCGATCGTAGTACTAAACCAGTTTTAATAAGGTACGAATAAGATTGTGGGTAGTAGTAAAATCAATGTTTTGTGAGGTAATTTCCAGGAATAATATTGTTTCTGGATCCCTAGATCCCTTGTCCTCTCTTAAGGGCTGATTCATTATTTCTTGTTTTCAGTATTGACCAGGAGCAACAATTATTGGATATTTATAATAGTATGTGTGATTCCACAGAAGGTAGCTCAAACCGTCGTGGTACTCCGGTGAGTTGGAGTTTGAGGAGCTCCCCTAGATGCTTTGAATTTGATATGTTGCGATTAATTTTCAGCGACCCGGTTATACTGGTCTTTATAACATGGGTAATACGTGTTTCATGAATGCAACCCTTCAAGTGAGTCCATTACGATCTTCCGCTCCTTATGCTTGCTTACGTTTTGCGAGAAGTTGGTGAGCGACTTCCTGCTGAACGCTCAAATCGGAGCTCAAAGTACCTTTCACAAGGTTCGAATGATAAACTTTTTAAGGCTCTGTTTCACACACCTCTAATGCTGTCAATATTCTCAAAAGAAAACTTCATGTCTCGTGTTAATCCGTGAGTTTGATTGCTACAGCTTGTGTTTCGAAATCTACAGAGGAAGTTCACGCCATGAAGGTGTGAGAGATGTGCTATTGATGAGAAGTAGGATTCTTGCGCTTCTTACAATTATCCGTGCATTTCCGTCTTGTCAATGTCACACACCTCACCTTCATTCGTTTCTTTCTAAGGCTGCTTTCATACTTTGCGTCAGCATGCGTTGGCGTACATCAGCGTTTGGAGCGTACAGCAAAGGACTAGGAAAGTATGGATCTCGATTCATTGAACGCCAGCATACGCTAGCGTTTTGGCGAGCAATTTGAGATGAGAGAAATTGCCCGCGAAAACGCTGATGCACGCTGGATACACTGGTGTTAGCTAAATATACCATTTTCACTTTAAATTCACCCTTTTTCAAACCAAATTCACCCTTTTTCAAACCAAATTCACCCTTTTTCAAACCAAATTCACCCCTTTTCAAACCAAATTCACCCTCACTTTTCATCAAGTTAACCACACTTATTAGGGCGGGCAACTCATCAACCAGATCACGCCAGACATCACTGCGAGCCCCGCCCCGACGGCCACGCCCACTTGTCAGCGCGGACATAGATTCTCAAATCTTGTTTCATAACTTCTGCTTTTGCTGTTTCCCACAAACACTTTGACTGGAAACCACCGTGCATTCACACATGGCCGACTCCGCCCATTCTCTAAAGGGTTTGGCACTCTAGGCTGACCACGCCCACTGGCTTTTCGCGGAATTTCGATGTTTTTTCAAAATTTTTGCATTTTAGGGCTGCTGCGTGAAGCCCCGCCCACTGTGAGGCTCCGCCCACTTTGAAGAAGCCCCGCCCACTTTTCAAAAATGGTGCAGATCGGCAGTATAGAGACTTGGCTTGCATGCTAGGGTATTGCTGATCATTCGGAATAAACTTTGCCGGATTTTCTTGTTCCGAGTGACGTACGAGACCCTAGCATGCAAGCCAAGTCTCTATACTGCCGATTTGCACCATTTTTGAAAAGTGGGGGGCTTCTCAAAGTGGGCGGAGCATCTCACAGTGGGCGGGGCTTCACGCAGCAGCCCTAAAATGCAAAAATTTTGAAAAATATCGAAATTCCGCGAAAAGCAAGTGGGCGTGGTCAGCCTAGACTGCCAAGCCCTTTAGAGAATGGGCCATGTGTCAATGCCGGTGGTTTCCAGTCAAAGTGTTTGTGGGAAACAGCAAAAGCAGAAGTTATGAAACAAGATTTGAGAATCTATGTCCGCGCTGACAAGTGGGCGTGGCCGTCGGGGCGGGGCTCGCAGTGATGTCTGGCGTGATCTGGTTGATGAGTTGCCCGCCCTAATAAGTGTGGTTAACTTGATGTGAAAAGTGAGGGTGAATTTGGTTTGAAAAAGGACGAATTTGGTTTGAAAAAGGGTGAATTTTAAGTGAAAATGGGGGGGCCAAAAAAAGTCACTTCGACCGAGTCACATATCAGCAAAGTTTTCGCAGCCCAGAGAGAAGACGTGGATACGAGTACCAGGGCGGAAGATACCCAAGATGTTCCTCGATAAGCAGGAGCTGGCCCTCGCCCATCACCTTCATGTACACCAAAATATGAGTCATCTCCAGTCGCAGCCTGACTGGAGAAGACCTTTGGAATTCATGTCACCTCCAAACAGCTGCGAAACTTCTAGTGTGGAGTCACCCATGGATAGCTACCTGGAGACCAGTACTCTCGATCTGGATGACCTCCAACATCGAGCAGCTCCGACAACGTCGCTACGGTCTAGGACATCATCTTCACCGCAGTCGCCAAGGCGCGGGTTGATGGTATGGACCGGACGCACCTGGAATGGAAAGACCAATATTTTCTTCGTGGACCCCGGGCTGAAGCTGAGCGCTGGCGGTTACATCGAGCAACTCAAGAAGAATATCTTCCCCACATGTCGTCGCCCGTACCTTCTTGGAAACTTTGTACTGCTACAGCATTGGGTGCCACCACATGGAATCGAAGGGCGTTGGAGAAACTCTCGCCTACTTGGAATGGAAGGGGGCTGAGTACCTAAAGAAGATGGAATATCCAAGTAGGTCACCTGACCTGAATCCCCTCAATTACCCGGTTCGGGCGGAGTTCAATAGGGTGGTCTACGGTGGCGGAGAAATCGACTATCTCGCTGATCTCAGGGACCACATCGCGGTTGCGTGCCAGAATCTCTCGATGGCGCTCCTCCAGAAGGCTGTGGCGGAGTAATAGTATTTAATATGCTCTTTAATATGGTGGTAGAAATGTCCGATCAGAGTTTATAAAGTGTAACTTATAGCGCCTCGAAAGTCAATGAAGCAAAGTGACTTTTTTTTGGCCCTCACTGTATATCCATGCTTTCCTCGTCACTGGCGCTAGCTACGCTGACGCAAACTATGGACGCAGCCTAATCTAGACCATTTTTCTACATTTCTGTGCATCAGCTTGCTTGGTTTCGTGTATGCAGCAGTGATTTAGGCATAATAAAATGGGTACGGGTGGTGTGATATCTGCTGTGTTCAGCGCGATGATGGACGTAATCTGGAGTGGGCAGTACTCAGCAATTAAACCGCAGAGGTTTTTGGTGAGTCTCAGTTCCACGCTTCTTTGCATTCTCCAAAGCTTTGGGTCACTTCTGCGCGTTCCAAGTCGCAGTTTAAAATATTTGCTATGGAATTTGTGGCACAATAGGGCAGAGTGTTAGGAAATGAAGTATCCTAATCTCAAGTCACGCTACGCTATGGGGCTGTCGTACAGCATAGTAGAGCACTTCAACGACTATCGGGTCTGAACATGACTTGCGGGAAGAGCCAATGTAAAAGCCATTCTATCCTGCCAGGGAAGTTCGAGTGTTTCATCCTGCCAGACATGTTTGTCTCTGAAGCGCGGCCAAAAGTCTGTTATCCCTGCGTTACCTGGACCTCCTTATATCACCTCGGTATCTTTACCAGTTGCAATCTCCACGTTGTCCCTTGTTGTAATCTCGAATAATCAATTACTTCTGTCAAACCAGGTTGTTGATGAACCTCTCATTGGCATAACATTTCGACCATCTCGTCTTCTTCAGAGGCCGGAAGTCTCACCATGCGGAGCTTAGCTCACGCTGTATGTCAGTAGAACTATTAGGTTGTCGCATAAGTTCTTATACACGACTTTTTTGTAAATATCTCAAAAACGAACCAGCCTGGAGATTAGAGGTATGCACCATCACCATTCACTACTCGACGCCAGCGCTCAGGCAGCTTGTCGATTCCATCCTTCCAGAACGACGGAGGCTGGGACTTGAAGAAGTCGTCGAGCGCCTTTCTGACCTGATCCTTTGTTTCGAACTTTTTTCCGTCCAGATAGCGCTGCAGGTGGCTGAACAGCCAGTAGTCAGAAGGAGCGAGGTCAGGGCTGTAGGGAGGGTGGGCGACCATCAGCCATCCGTACTTCTCCAGCTCGGCCTGGGTCGCCTTTGCAGTGTGAGGTCGGGCGTTGTCATGGTGGGTCCTCCTCCACGGTGGAACGTAGTACTTCCAAATCCAACTCCATCGGCCGACCCGACCTCGGAGCATCTTCGAGAGAAAAGTCTCCTTTCTTGAATTTGGCCAATTCTTGCATGTCATGTAAGAGATGACGTCCTCACCGTATGTATCCACCAGCTTGGTATGGGCTTCCTTTGCATTCCAGCCGAAATCGTGGAGCAAAACCAAACAGTGGCGCAGGTACGTTTTGTCACAGTGCAAATTGTGCGACATTGTGTACTGCAAATGCAAGCTCGGTGAGTGATAGCTAGTGTAATGAAAGAGTATAATGTACACGTCACGCACACGTGATGACGTAATACCAACATCCATGCGAACGAAATAGGAGAGGATCAAACACGTGTATAAGAACTTATGCGACAACCTAATAGTAAGGACGAAACTAGTTCTATTGACAGCTTTGAAAAATACCGAAACTTTGGGTTATCTAACAACCGTGTTTGGCAGAAGTAATTGAACATCCTACCAATTATTTTCACAACTTCAGCGTTTATTCGCCAGCCAAGTGAACTCCTGCCTCGCTGATGGTCACCAACATGATGCGTCTGAATTTCAGTTATTTCTTCTTGACGCTCTTCATGAAGATACCAACCAGGTACTAATTTAGCGATATCTGATAGGCTGGGTTTTTTTTTGTCGTATTCATTGAGGGATATGTGACTTCTTTTGATTTTCAGGTGACGAAACGAGTGTCTTTTGAGCAAAATTACAAGGGCGGAGCACAAATAATAAATGATGCTAAGGATTACGAAAAGAAAAGTCGCTTGTTTTCGTGTTCGCCGGTGAATAAAATTTTCAATGTGAGTTAGTTTGCTTCTGTAATAGAAATGTGTTATGTATGGTTATTCGCAACCACCTCATAAGCTGATACGTACAGGACGTATAGTAGTGCATTTTAGTTGCAAACTGTTTCTGAGCTATCCTGCACAGCATGTGGCGAACAGTCTGCTACATTTGAGGAATGCAGTTTGATAACTGTTGAGTTACCGGTACATGCGTCTCGTACAAGTTTGCATCAATGCCTTAGCAGTCATTTTTCACAAACAGTGAGTAATATTTCCCTTTTCGCGTCCATTTTTTTCGCAACGTTCCATTTGTTAAGATCATCCGAAAATCATTCGAAGGGTCCGAGAACTGCTGGCATTGAGGTTCCTCCCACATTTCGTTGTGCAAAGCTGTAAAATTTGAACTGATCGGTTAATATAGCCGGACTAAACGTGTCTTCTCCATTCATCTCGGGAGACCGTGATGATTTCCAACGTTCTGATTTTGCCATTTTGTGTCCTATTTCTGGGGTCCTCTTTCTTCTTTGTAGTTTTTCCAATTTGCCTAGGCAATTATGTCAACTTTTTTAGATAAGGAAATATACTTTACGAGCTTTTATTTCATGCTTTAAATCACCACATTTTTACAGACTTTGGATGGCGATTGCCGTTGGAACTGCCCCAGGTGTCGAGCCCCAAAACGAGCATCGCGTCTAACGAAACTCTGGTCACTGCCACCTGTTGTGGTACGCTTTTTTCGAATGATTTTTCTTCACAGAATACACATGCATGGATCATAAAGACAAGTTTCGCTTTTCTTGAGTTGTCTTGGAAACGCTATCAAACTGCAAAAAGAATTTCTGGGAGAAGATGAATCACGTTGCAGCATTCTGTCCTCTTCAGAGTTCGCCAAAGTTTTATTTGTGCCATCCTCTCCCCGTCGAATGGTGGCTTTTTGAATATGCCAGTTTTCTCCGGAAGTTAAACGATGGTGCATTGCTATAATAATTGTTTGTGTGACTAGCTAACGTCGCACTTCTCGCTACTTGTTACAAGTATGCTAAGTTATGGGCAAACGTCAGGTCACATGCAGAACTCGAAACCGCATCTCCTGGTAACCGGGCGAGTGCGCTATCTATTGCGACACTAGGGCCGCTCTTAGCTCTCAGTTCAGTGGATTTTGTGCCATAGCTTTACAGCACTCACACTTTTGGATGATGAGTCAGTTACGCGATATCGGCAGTGAAGCACGGAGCACAGGGCTTTACTTAGGGTTCGACTTTTGCCCACAACTCAGCATTCTTGTGATGACTTTTAGAGCGCGAACTGCGGTATTAAACAACAGTGATCATACCGAAACATCTTCAAAAGAGTAAAAGCCTTCAGCTTCGTGACACATTGCCAGTATCGGCTAACCGGTTCATCTCGTCAAACGTGTGTTTAAGGCTTGAGACGCCCACTTCACTCATCTTTTGTTCTCGACCAGTACTGATATTTTGAAAGGGATTCAGGTAGACGGGAGCGTTGTAGGTATTCATGACAAATACATGGCATAAATTTCGATTCATTATAAAGATATTCTAATGATTAGTTCGTGATATAACGTCATTTCATTCGTAATGTGGCAGAAAAGTCGTTGAGCTGAGTGGGTAAGAGCGCCCCGTTGACGTAATGGATATCGCACTCGCCGGTCGGTGGAAGATGCGGGCTCGAGTCTTAGAACGGGATTCGTTCAGTATTACCGCCACGGTACCGTAACCCAAGACGGCGCTCTTTAAATTGTCAGTCTGTTGCAGGTGCGTTGAAAACACCAGCACGGGCATTCAAATTACATTGGAATTACGCCGATAATTTCCTTTATCTGGGTGGAAGAAGACGTGTGTTTCGGATGTCGCTGTGAGGCTTTCGATGTGAGGATAGGCCTAATCTATCCTTCTGTTACTATTGCTTCAACCACTCTAGTGGTGTTGCACGCTTGGTATCAATCACTGTGGGATAGAAACGCTTTCAGAGCTCGCACAAGTGAACATTAAATTGAGATGCTACTGCGTTTGAATTATTAGGTCACCAGTCGGATCGCCCGGCTGTCGCCGGGCGCTCCTCTTCATGCTGACATGCCCGCGAAGCCGGCCATGCGATTTTGCTGCGAGCTAAGTAAGAGTCGGTACAACCACACTGTTCAAAGGAACCTTCTGCAGTGCAGCCTGTTTATACAGCCACTGAAGCAGCCTATAATTTATGCAATCTGTCTTCCTAAAGCGTCTTGCTTTGGAACGCACTACCGCATTCAGCAGTGGAACCCTTTACTGCCTCACCAAGTTTGTCTATGGAGATAATTGTGGTAAGAGTGATAAAGTCAGTTGCTACTGTTCATAACATCTCTGTAAACAAACCACATGCATTTGGAATAGAGCTGGCTTAGCGTCGACACGGCTTACTAATAAACAGTCAGGAATGGATCTGTTGGAATTCACTGAGATCGTTATTTTGATCATATCATCGCATTTTTCATGATGAGCGTGAAGGGATTTCTCCCATCCTACCTTCGTCAATTTAGCTCGACACTTCCTTACCCCGCATAATAACACTCCCACCTATCACTATTCATATCACCCCGTATCGCCTCTCGCGATCAGACGTCCCTGGGTTGCGTAACGGCTAACGAATCTGATGACCCTCCCCTTCCGAGGCCGCTTACCGTATCTTATCAACTGTTATCACTTTCTGTCGCCCCCAATAATGTTCCCGTCCCACACCCTATATCACCTCACGATCTGAGTTCCACTGGCTACCTCCACCTGAATTGGATGACCTCCTCTCCGGGCCCTTATCGATCTTATCAACCTGTTATCAGCATCTGCCAGCCCACCCTACGCATATCACATCTAAATCATGAAGATCCCGCTTGCTCCAACTTGCACGATGTCTCCCCTCCCCATTTTAAGGCCCCTTATCGAATCTTATCAGTGCTTATCACCTCCTGTCACCCATCAAAAGTGTTCCCGTCCTGCCATGTATATCACTCCTTGAAATCACGGTCCACCACCTGCTGCAACTTGTGCTACGAATTCAGTCACCCTCCCCTTCTACGGCCCCTTATCGTATCTTATCAAGTGTTATCGCCTCCTGACACCCAGCAAAAGTGTTCCCGTCCTCGCCATTATAATCACTTCTGAACTGGCATTCCTATCTCTTCTGCGACGCCTCGCTATGAATTCACACACACACATCACGAAAACCACACACAGACACACACACATACACACATAGCGAATTAATATAGTAGGATCCCATGTCAAACGTGCCGCATTGCTTTTTTTTTTGAATAAAAAAAAGAGGAGAATAGATAGAAAAGTGATATTTTAGCTTTAGGATGAGTAAATCCCTTCTTCACCAATGACCCGCTTCCAGTCGAGGCCTTGACCTCTGTACTTCAATTTTCAATACAGTGTGAATAAAATTGCTGATTGTGCCAATATTCGGCACAATGACAAAACATTTAGGCGTCCTCCTGCCGTTGAGATACTCTCCAACTGAATAGAACATATTTAACTCGCATCTTTATGACGGCGCGAATGGCATAACCCATCGTCTCATTATGTTGGGGTGCCCAAACACTGTATTCTACAATACATTACTCGGGGTCTGGTACTATGACGAGCAACGGCTGCCTCTCTTGTATTGTTGGGGTAATCTATTCCATTTTCGATCGAATGCGTAGAACATGCAATTTATCACGACATGACGGATTTGTGTCATCATGCATAAGCCGCCTTGAAGCCAATTGGGAAACCTTTGCTATGATGATCATCCACTTGCGCCCACGTAACTCTTCATGGTAGAACTCGGGCGGCTTCTCATCTGCATTCATACAAAATTGACGATTGTGAGTTTCGGCTCGAGGTCCGAGACCACCCATATTTCATCTAAGGCCTGGGTGCGTTTTCACAGTTGTGAGTGACATCTCATGCTGAAACATTACTGCTAGAGGTATAAATCGTACTGCGTTTTCTTCTATAATGAAAATAGTACCCATGCGCACCCTCTGGGACCATCATCAGTTTACGTACAAACCGGCAGCCAGTGGACAGCGAATGTCGGACTCCTGGGAACTCACAAGTCCAGCCTGGATCAGATATTCACTGCTTACTTCATCTACCTTTTTCTTCTGCAGATGAATATTATGGGCACATCACACAACAAATTTTTTCTTCTTCCTATGACGGCTCCGAACCGAAATCATCTCCACTCGTTATTTTCGAGAACACCCTTACACACAACTATGATCCGGCGCAGGTCAAATTTGAGCGGCGCACTTTCCTCTTATGACGTCTGCTTTGAAAAACCGGCGCCGATTGTCATCCACTCGCACTTCTTTTCATTCTCGAAATTCTTCTGAGGCTAGGTTCGCCAAATTCACAGATACACAGCTTAAGGTACTAGCTTCCAAATGGTATAGTAGCCCGCTGCTCTATCCCCTTTGCTTTTCTGCCATTCCTCTATGTAGGCACTTTGAATGGGATATGTAGCGGCACGTTTGAATGGGATGACCTAATATTAGCCTCATCGCCGGAAAGGTGGAACAGGTGATATTTGCCTGTAACTGGTCACTTTCTCAACTACGACTTTTCAACCTGGAGATTTACCGCGGAAACTAGAGGGCCAAAGTTGAGACGGGCACTGCTCGGGCACAGTTCCGCCAAGATATGAGGAAATTCTGTTAAAAACTTGCCACCAAAAACGTTGTCTACAGGAGTATTTGGTACTGCCAGTCACTATCCTGACCCTGAAGTTTCTTGTCAGCACTAAGAACCAAGTCGTGTTTGCACTCGAGACCCTGGATTACCTCTCCAATCTAACTACTCTAACTACCAGTCTGTAGCGAAACGAGCCTGAACTGTAGTTGCACCAAACTGGCGCCGAATGGTATCGTCACGAAAAATGTCATGTCAGTAATCAGATCACTACTTTTTATGTCTAGTGATAGTGACGTTTTTCGCTTTTCCAATCACTAAGCATGCAGTGAAATTTCATGCGATAAGTTGGGAAACCACTTGTAAAAGAATATTCTGGTCTGGAGTAAGTTAAAAGTAATTCGGCTCTTATATTCATGTAATTATTCTCCAATTGCAAATAGCTAGAAAAAAGCGTTGTAAGCGTAGTATGGTCAACGTGCGACATGATATGTTTCGACCTAGAGGTTCTATATTTTGGCATACGCTGCGCATATGCCAGGCATAAAGAACATCCGCCTAGACGAAAGAAAGCACAAGTGAAATGCATATGAAAAAAATAGTGATTGTTAATAAATTTTATACTTTGTAATTGTAAATTTTATATGTTGTAATTTTTTATTTTCTTAAAATTTTAATTTTGTGTCGATATCGATTATTATCTTTCTACATCTATTTATTTTTTGAGTTGTTTGTAGAGTTTTGAAATGATTATTATGTTTGAACTATATTGAATGCTCTATAAATTTTTGTGGGGGAAAGGTCAAAGAGATAGCTCAATTCCCGTTTCGCACGTGCCCTTAGACGGGAATTGAACAAATTTCAGTATTCCTCCTCCGTGCTCATCAGTAAGGAAAGGAGGAATCTCCAGATTCTCCAGATTTGTTTTTTGGCTTTTAAGTGTTTTAAATATTTTTGAACATTTTAAATATTCAACTTTTTTTTCAAAGATTGTATTTTCTTACAGTGTACTGAATAAAGTGAACAACTTTTCTGTTTATGTGTACGTAAAAACATTGTGTACTGTATGTGTATTTATATGAAAAATATCATTGAATATAAAAGTA